ATTTGGGATCCACATACTTTTTATGTTATAATCATGTATTTTGGGTAGTACAGAAACAGAACATTATAAGCCTGATTTTCTTTAATTTACTATTGGCTATAAAATAACTGGGACAGAAACCATCGTCCTTGTTGGTAATTTAATAGAAAAATTTAAGGAAATTTAATTTTAATTATAGGGGTTTATTGAGACAAGCCCTACACTAGCCATTGCATACTATTAAATAGGTAAGGGAAAAGTTTAGAGATTATTAACATACTTGTAACCATAAAATGAATGTTAAAACTTGTGTATTTATCATGACTTTCATCGACATGTGGAGTTGCTATGTCTCTTTCCTAAAAAGAGTGTTTCGGTAATGGAGAGACTTCCTGTGTCATTTAATTTAGTAGAACTTCCCAAATGGTAGGTGAGCTGCCCAATGGTAGGTGAGCTGGCCAAGCAGGTCTAGAGCCAGAGTCCTTGCCAACTGGTCCAAATCTCTTGTTTATGCCAGAATTTTATATAAACCTAACTGTCTTCTCCTTAATATAGTATGAAAAAAGCTCCCAAAACACTGTCTTTTGGTAAAACAATATTTTATTTTAATGTGAACGATATTCTGAATGTGAAAGATCCAAAATGAATTAATGCACAAAAGTATAAGGAAAGACTCTTTCAGGGTACTTGTCCTTTACTTGTATGAACACATTATGGGCTTATCTCCGGGATATAATATTAATATTCCAGAGAGCAAAGTTAGGTAAATAATAAAGCAAGCTGATAATAATTCCCTCAGTTTTCAGAAAAGTTAAAGGCTTTATTAATTAATTCTTTATCTGCATCTCCTTCTCCCTTTCTTTACTTTTGTACTGAGAGTAAGATAATTATTATAATCTGAGAGATAAGACTGAATCTACTGAGAGCTGTATTTATGCAACTCTGTGGTTGGGCCAATGGCTTAAAGATATTCATGTTCAGAAGCCTGATCTTAAAACAATTTTCTACTTAGAAAAGATAATTTCCAAGTAGAAAATTAAAACCTCTATGTTATGAAAGTTCTACTTAAAATATATTCACTGTTATTGAGAAATTACTATGCATGAGGATACTTCTTGGTGCTTCATATATATCAGTAAATCAGACAAAGATCCTGTCCTTAAGAAGCTTTTATTCTGGGGCCTCCCTAGTGGCACAAGGGATTAAGCACCGCACTATGAAGCAATCCACAGCCTATGAGGCAATTCTGCAGGACGAGTTCCATCCCCAGCTGGCCAGGGAGCAACCCACATGTGAAGCAGACCTCTCCTGTCTCGCCCGCTGCTCCCCTCAGCAGTGTATTTCAGTCATTCTGCCTGTTCTGTTCCCCACTCTGTCTCTGGTGAGTCCTCTCACCCCCCGCATCTCTGGCCTGTACCCCAGCTCTTGTACGAATAAGTAAATAAATCTTTTTTTAAAAAGAAGCTTTTATTCTGATGGGGAAAGGGATATCAACCAATAAACATAATGCATAAGTAAATTATATTTGATATTAGAAGGCGAAAAGCATATCAAATATGTCTTGCCATTCTTTCTGACCTCTAAAGTTTCTCTTGAAAAATCTGCTGATAGGGCCTCCCTGGTGGCACAGGCGGTTGAGCGCAGCACTGTGAAGCTGTCCACAGCCTCTGCAGTGTGGGTTCAATTCCGGGCCGGGCAGGGAGAATCCCACATGGCGCGGCAGACCTCTCTTATCTCACCTGATGCTCCCCTCAGCAGTGTCTTCGGCCCATCTGCCTGTTCTACTCCCCACTCTGTCTCTGGTGAATCCTCTCACCCTCCTGCACCTCTGGCCTATACCCGAGTTCTTGTATAAATAAGTAAATCTTTAAAAAAAATCTGCTGATAGCTGTATGGAGTTTTGCCTTGTGTATGAGAAGCTGCTTTCCTTTTGTTGCTTTGAAGATTTGATCTTTAACTTTTGCCATTTTAATTATAATGTGCCTTGAAGTGAATCTCTTTGAGTTCCTCTTATTTAGGTCTCTGGGCTCATGTAACTGGACTTCTCTCTCCTTCATATTAGGGAAGTTTTCCAACATTATTTCCTCAAATAATTTTTCTGGCCCCTTTTCTCCTTCTAGAACTCCTAAATAATGTGGATACTATTCCTCTTAGTGTTGTTCTAGAGCTCCCTAAAGTATCTGTACTTTCTTAAATTCACTTTTCATTTTGTTGTTCTGTCTGGGTGAGTTCTATTATTTTATCTTCCAGCTCACTTATCTGCTCCTCTCCTTCATTCTGTCTGCTGTTGGATCCCTATATTGTTTTCTTCAGTTTTATCATTACATTTTTCAGCTTCATAAGTTCTATTTGGATCTTTCTTAAATTTCCTAGTTCATCCATTCATTTCCACTGAGCTAATTCATAGTCATTACTTTTAATTTTCAGATAGCTTGCTTATATTTCTTCCTTTTTTTTTTTTAAAGATTTATTTATTTTTATACAAGAGCTGGGGTACAGGCCAGAGGCTCAGGAGAGTGAGAGAATTCCCCAGAGACAGAGCGAGGAGCAGAACAGGCAGACTGATGAAACACATTGCTGAGGGGAGCAGAGAGCGCAACAGGAGAGGCCCGCCAAGCCACGTGGGAATCTCCCTGGTTGTCCGGGAATCGAACCTGTGCTGCCGTGGCTGCGGACAGCTCCACAGTGCTGCACTCAACCCGCTGTGCCAACAGGAAGGCCCTATTTCTTTTCTTTTTTTTAAAAGAATTTTTTTTAGATTTATTTATTCATGCATACAAGAACTGGGGTACAGGCCAGATGCACGGGAGGGTGAGAGGATTCACCAGAGACAGAGTGGGGAACAGAACAGGCAGACTGACTGAAATACACTGCTGAGGGGAGCAGCGGGCAAGACAGGAGAGGTCTGCCTCGCCATGTGAGTATCTCCCCACCGGGCTGGGATCGAATCCACACTGCAGAGGCTGCAGACAGCCTCACAACACTGTGCTCAACTGCTTGCACCACCAGGGAGGTCCCTATATTTATTTACAGACTTTTTTAGTTTAGTTTAGTTTTGTTCTTTCATTTGGGGCAGTTCCTGTTTCCCCATTTTGTCTGGATCTCTCTGCTTGTTCCTGTATATTAGCCAACTCTACTACCTCTTCTGGTCTTGTAGGAATGGCCTTGTGCAGGTGCTATGCTGTGACATCGAGGAACACAGTCCTCCATAGCCACCTGAGCTAGGTACTGCAGGTGCATCCCCTCTATGTCAGTGTGACACAATATATGTGGTTATTGGCCAGACCTGGCCATGTGCAGTGGAGTCATGCAATTGTAGTGAATGGCCCATGCCAGTTGCAGTATGCTGCGATTGTGCAGTAGATAAGTGGAGCTGTAATATGGCTCAGCCACACGTTCACGGCCTGCGGGATGTGGGAATGACCTGCGGTACTTTGGGGTGCTAGGCTGTAGCCTGCTGCTTTTGTTGTTCCAGGCTGTGAGACATAGTAGTTCCAGATTCCAGGCAGTGACTCTCAATTACATCATCGTGTGGGTAGAGCTCTCAGCAGGACTTACCCACAGTCTTTGATAACCTGTAGAGAAGGTACTAAGAAGGTACTCATGGTGCTGAAATTAGCAATGTTGCATGAAGTTGCCAAGATGCATTTCCAACTTTGGAATTGTCCTCAAAGCTTCCTACCTCTGAGGCAGATGCCATAGAATGGTTTATGTTTTTCCTTCCCTTATTTTCAAGCATTTTTCAGACTTGTATTACTCTACTGGGTTACTGGGTGAGTGAGAATGTGTGAATTTCCTTAAGGATGGGTTTTCCATTCTTTGTAGTTCTTCAACTCTCCTGGGTGTTTTTCTGGTAATCCTTCATGTGAGTACTTTAGATCGTTGTCTCTGCTGTGCTAAATCAAAAGGTTGGGGTGCCTAATGTGAGGCATCACCCTCCCCTACTCTCTGGGGGAAAAGTTCCACATTTTGGAATTCTTCCCAACTAAGACTGTGTAGACCCAGTGGGGGCGATGTCTTTCTAAGCAAGATCTTACATCTTTCTTTCTTACCTTATCGGTGCTGTCCTTTTATTCTTTACTGTGGGGTCTCTGTTAGTCTGTTTTTTAGGTCATCTTCCTTGTAAATTATACTATATGTAGTGGTAGACTTATTGTGTCTTTAAGAGGAGGTGATTAAGGTTATCCTACACTGCTGTCTTGAAGCAAGCCCCTACCCATTTACTTTTAATCTCTGCTGTCATTATATTTAAAGTCAGTTTCTTGTAGACAACATGTAGCAGGGCCATGTATTTTGATCAACTGTGACATTCTGTCTTTTAAGTAGTGCATTTAGATCATTCACATTCAGAGTAATTATTGATGTCATCAGATTGATATTTACCATATTCATTACTGTTTTTTATTTGTTGTCCTTTTTTGTTCTTTCTTTTGTCTTTCACTCTTTTTTATATTTCTTGTGGTTTTAATGGAGCATTTTAGATGATTCAATTTTCTCTCCTTTCATAGTGTGTTATTTTTTTTCCCCTGGTTTTTACTTATTTTTAAGTGGGAGAAACAATACTTTTGAATAATGAAAGCAATAATCTTGTTGAGAGGCGGGGATAAATGATGCAGGAAGGAGAGGGGAAAGATAGTCATTTTGGAAACCCAAGGGGGTATATTTAGTTCATAAAGGAAGAACTTTTCCTTAGGTGAGAGTACAACCAGGTCATTTACAGTTTCAGGAAACAAGGCAAAGCAACTGACCAAAAATGAAGGTAGGTGTCTAGAGGTAGTTGCAGAAGCTTTGGAGATTCTCCCCAAACTATTTCAATTTCTCACTGAAATAGCAAAATGAGAAGTAGAATGAGAGATGAGATATTGGATATTTTAGAAGAGAGGTCACCATCTGAAAGGATGGAAGTGTAAATGAGCTAATGAGATAGTGTTGGTTTGCTGGGCACTACCAAGGTTCTGTTGGTTAGTGGTCATGAATTTAGGGCAATATCCACTAATGCTTGTATTTTTATTTTTCTCAAGCTTATTCAGTTATACCAACAACACCAAGGAGTACAAGGAGAGTTCGATTGAACCACTGTTGGAGTTTTGACAAGTGAGTAAAATGAAACAAAAAGGGGGTAAAGGCATTGATCTGTGTTAGAAAGAATGTAAGGGCTTGAAGAGTTGAGCGATATAAAAAGGTAACTGGATCTATGGATTTGGATACTAGTGTGTTTAAAGAATTGTTGGCATTGGTAGTCCAGACTGAGTGAATGAGAGAGTTGGATAAATAGTTATAGAAGAATGAGATTCTTGAAATTATGGACAAGTTGCAATTATAGATGATGACAAATCTAGGGTGTAACAACGGAGGGAGTGGTTGAGGTAGGGTAGAGGACAATATTATTACAGAGAAGATCCTGGGTCTAAGAACCCAGGATTAGAAAAGTCATCTACAAGAGATGCTAAAATGCTCAAAAGCTCTCAGAAATAGTGTTGGAGTGACACTGAAACACTTTTCCACCCATACTGATTTTCTACTGGGTCATTCCCAACATGATACAAATTCATAGTAATTCCTCCCACCTCAGAACTCCCCTTTGTTCTTATATCCATTAATGACTACTATCTCATTTTTCTGTTGTGGTTTAGTGCAAAATTTTATAGTGTTGTCAATATTCTGTGTCAAATACTTCTCTTCCCATTCTATCTTTGTTTCAAAATAGACTTTCAATCCTCTACTCCATGGTAGAAAGAAACTCTAGACATAGCATCTACAAAGTCAACCAACCCAGAAACACTGACTATGTAATACCTGCACAATAGAATTGATCTGATTCAGGAGGGTGCTATCGACAAATAATTTCGTTGAACCATATCTGCTTTTCCCCTCTGCTTAGTCAAAGGCTTGTTTTCACCATTTCTACTATTTTCATAATAAAAATGGGAATAATTTACTAGTTTTTACTTTTAATATCATAAGGCATATTTAGATAAAAGAATTTATATAAGATTACTATACAACCTTAAAACAATATGCTACTTTTCTTTCACAAATAATTGACTAAGTAATTGTGGCAACTGAGAACAAATGATTATTCACTGTAATATGAATACATAGAAAAAAATTAACACTTTCTTTTGTTTTAGGTATGAGAAATTATTTTAAGAATCAGGAGGGGAATTAATGTGATTAACATAGTTCACAGCTTTAAATTTTCACTGGCCCAAGTAATTCTGCATGATGATTCAGATGTGCCTATCCTGTGTCAGTACCTTTTAGTGTGTCCATTCATCAGAGATGAAATTACACACATGGTATAAAAAGAGGTTCCTTGTCACAATTTTGTGATGGTAGTTCAGCTTCACATTAAGTGATTACTCAGGTGAGGCCAATTTTTGCCTCATTTTTGTTCACTTGTCTGTTTCTTGACAGCATTTCTCCACTGCCCTTAATCAAACTATGTTCTCATTATATGTTAACTATATTTCTCCCTAACCTGTGTATCTTCCTCTAGTATATATCTGTCATCTCAGTTGCACCCCCTTTCTGTACTTAAGAAACATTCACCTTATGATCAGGGAATCTGCATAGCCATTGTGCAGTTTGTGCAATACACAAAAGCAACTGGCAGAGAGGGCATACGGGGCTGAAATCCAGGATTGCTCTCCCTCTGAGTAATCACTCAAGAAAGGAAAGACTTTTTAATTTAATTTTGTCAACTAAAGGATTGCATTTGCCTCATTTACCTAAAGCACCATACAGGTTACTAGCAATCAGCTTATGAGACTTGCTGAAAGGAAGAACCTTCCTTGCAGGATAGAAGTACAAAGAACAAATACTTCTTTAGATTCCTTTGCAACTGGTCATAGAGTGTATGATTTAGGGTCAGCCAATCAGGTGCATCTGCCCTTGACTTTGAACTGGAACAGACAACAGAATTTTTTTCTTTTTCTTATAGCTCAGAGCAGGCAGTAACATCTCATTCCTAGAAGCAATGGCTGCCTTAGTCAGTGTCCAGAGCTGGAAATATTTTAATGACAACTTTAGCATCTGGTCTCCAGTGATGAGGCAGGACTTTTCTGGTCCAAACCAAGGAGTGATTTTATAGCTCTGGGTATAGGACTTCACTGTCCCTCCAGACTTTCCCAACCTAGTAGTCCAGTCTTCCTAGCATTTCACTGAGTACTAAATAACTCCTCAATAAATCCTCTTTTTGCTTAAATTACTCAAAGTTCAGGTATAAACCACTCAAACATTTTATAAACCAGTAAATTCCACTCCTGTGAAGTAATCATATAATAATATGTATCCACAAAAGTATTTTACACAAGTTCATATTGAGCTTTATTCATATTGAGACTAAATTATAAACAACCCAAAGGCCCATCAACATTTGGTGAATAGAAAATTATAGTATCTCCTAACAATGGATAATACTCATCAATAAAAAAAATGCCTCTACAAACAAATCTATGACTCTCAAAAGCATGATGTGAGTAAAGGAAGCCAGACACAAAGGTATGTAGAATGTGTGATTCTATTCTAGAAACTCTAGAAAAGATAAATCTATAGCTACAGGAAACAACTCAGTGGACCAGGTATGGGGTGGGGTTGGGAACTAACTTCAAAGTGCTGCCAGGGAAGTTTCTGTGGTGCTGGAGTTGTCCGCTGTCTTGATTGTGGTAGTGGCTACATGGGCATATGCCTTGTTAAAACTTTACATAAAACTGTATACTTAAAAAGATCAAAGATGGAAAAGAAATACAAAAATAGAAAACTATACACAATATGAATGCAATACATTCAATGTAAATTATATCTCGATAAAGTTGATTAAAAAAATCAAAGGAAGTGGAGGAACCAGGTTTTATAATGCATAAAACAGGGTGGTTTGGGGGACTAAGATAAATAAACTGATAGTCTCTAAAACACTGTCATGTAGATCAATCAAATATAAATTTATTTGCCCTTGTCAAATTATGTAATCTTATGCTCTGATCAAAGTTCAAATTCCTAACAGAGAAGGTAAGGAGAACAGCTTAGGTCAGGTGCCCATTCCTGAATAGGAAAAAGCTGGACCATCCTGACTGACTTCCCATTCATATGGCACTGACATGTGGCAGGGCTGATTCCATGAGAAAGATGGGGATACTGTTCACCAGAAGTAGGGGCAGTGATTCTTGGTAAAACAAAAAAACAAACAACGTAAACAAACAACACACATAAACAGTCTTCCCCTTTGTGTTTCCGGAGGTGACCAAGGAAGGTGGTGATGGACTTCAAACATAAATGTTCATTCATTCTAATTATCCTTTTATACAAACATAATTTTGATTATGGATGATTTGCCAGGTGCTGTTACTGACTGGGATCTCATATACATATTTTGAGTTCTCTCTCAAATGATAGTTCATATTAATGTAAGGAAGAGAAACTTCAAAAGAGGATTATCTGGGGGCCTCCCCTGGTGGCACAACGGTTGAGCGCTGGGTTGCGAGGCTGCCTGCAGCGCCGGTTCAATCCCCGACCTCTCCTGCCGCCCGCTGCTTCCCTCAGCAGTGTATTTCGTCAGTCTGCCTGTTCTGTTCCCAGCTCTGGCTCTGGTGAATTCTCTCACCCTCGTGCGCTTCTGACTGTACCCGGTGCTTGTATAAATAAATATTTTTTTTTTAAAGAAAATTTACTTTAAAAAAAGAATTATCTGGTTTGTATATGGCATCTTTTTGGGGGGATGCGAGGAGTAGGGAAGGTAGAATTACACCGAAGACAATAATTTTCCGTCGTTAGAGGTCATTAGAGCGATCTTAGTTCGTTCTGTATATTCTTTACTAAGGAAGCAGAAGGTGGACAGTCAGAGAAGTAAATTCCATGTTTCACCGACAGCCCAGCCCACAACTGGAAAAAGGTCTTTTCATCATTCAAACCTGCTGTCATTAAGTCTCCCGAGGCCTCCTTGGCAAGTCGGCAGAGGGAGCCATTCCCCAAGAAATCTCTGGCGGGCCTCGCAGATTTGGGGGTGGGAGAAGGGTGGGGAGCGAGGGGGAGGATTTTCTGGTGGGTCCAGGGAGTTTCTCTCTCCTCCCCACCTCTGTAAAACAGGCCCCCTCAATGTTTCCTCCACCCCAGCTCTTCGCCACACCTTCTCAACCACTTCGTGGCTGCACCGCACGGTGATCTAGCACGGCCAGCTCACCTACAGCCCTTCTGCGTCCCACATTAGCGCCCCGTCCCTGGCACCGCTGGGGACTTGCGTCCTCCCAGATGGCCCCCCTCTGATGCTTTTCCCAGCCCCCCAAGTCCTCAGAGAGAGTCTAGAACGGCTCCCGCGGACTTCGACGCCCTCCCGGGCGCTCACGGGCACTCTTTCTGCCACCCCTTCGGTATTCCTAGGATTTGCCAACTTCGAGGCCAAACTGTTGCCAGGGTCACTCCTGGGCGCTGGGAGCCGCTCCGTTCACAGGCGACCTGCCATCGGGGTGCAGTAATCTTCAGGGGAGGATCCTACCAGACGTAGCAGGGACTGCGCGCGGCGCCAAGAGAACCCCCCTCTGCCCCTGCGGTCACTGGCCCGGTGGCAGCAGCTGCTGCAGCCGCAACTGCTCGAATCCCGGCCCCGGCTCGGGTTACTTCCCTCCTCCAGCATCCCCGGACAGACGCGTAAATCCTTGTTCGAGTTTGCTGCAAATACTTTCTCGGTACTTAAAACTGGGGGTCTGGAAACGCGTTGAGACTCGCCTCCCCTCCCGCGTCTCCGCCTCTGAGCTTGAAGGGACACTGCTAAGTATCTCACTTCTGGGACCCTGTTTGGAAGCTAAAGGCGCTGTTTGGAACAGAACTCGTTTCTCAGCTGACTTTGGTGGAAATTCGGAAAATTTCCGATTTTCTGAATCTCAGGATCTCTGGACCTGGGTAAGAGTTGAACAAATTCAGTTCTGGCAGCCACTGGACCCTGTCCGGACCCTGGATGTTTTCTTATGGGTGGGAAGTATTGGCATACCCCTGTCCAGTGTGAGGTGGACAGAGACAGACACTGTCTGGGTTGTTTATATGTTTTTAAGGATTTTTTTGTTGTTACAGTTTGTTTGCATTTGGTCTTTTTTGGGCCTACG